CTCATGAGGTGATAGGGGTGTCCTATTCCAGAAACGTTTTGGTCTAGTCGTAGTTAGGCGTTTGCCTCCTTTCCTTTTCCCAAAAAAAAACAAAAAAAAAAAAAAAAAAAAAAAAAAAAAAAAAAAAAAAAAAAAAAACCAAGCACGTCCCCTTCATTCATTAAACGCGATGGTACGACTACCAAACCTAATACTATAGGATTTTCATCATTTTCCTTCTATTTTTTTTTTTAATTTATTTCTAAAACAAAAAACTCCAAAATCCAAAATTCTTTGATTTCGAAAATGAGACATCAAAGAGTCCAAATATATAACGAGTCTATGTTGTTCGATAGAATTAGGGGCTGTAAACAAGTCAAGTCTGCTCAAGTTTAGGGTGCTCAAATTCAAACTCGGCTCGTTAAATAAATAACGATCATGGAATCGAGTTCGAGCTCTGCTCTTTTATTACTTAAAATTATATAAAAGTTTACTTTCGAGCTTTATCGAGCCTAGCTAACCAAACGAGTTTTAAATAATTAAGTTTGAGCTCGAACCAAACTCGAGTCTAACTTGCTTAATTTAACAACACTAGATAGACCTAATGCTTAGGTGAGGTCTACCTTTTCAACAAATGGTCATATTAAGATTATCATATTTTAGAAAATCACATAAAAATATGATATTTTAAAATGTATATATATATATTTGTTAAAAATAAAATAAAATGGATTGATAACATAAACAATTTGTGTACAACGAAAACGAAATGAGTAGATAGGCTTGAGAATTGGTTATATTGATTGGAACAATGAAGCTGAAAATATGAAACAAAAAAAGAAAAGAAAAAGAAAATTCCAGTCTGTCATTGTTACTACCCCACAAGCCATGACTTTTTATACTCATCTCATGGCCTCTTTATTCCCACATAAATGGACCACACGTCTACGCAATATATAAAAACAATATTTGGTCATTTATTATGATAAAATCAAACTTAGATAGACATATGTTATGTATTCATCAAATCTGCTTTCTAATATGGAACATTCATTGTTCCATTTGAAAAATATTTTTATTTGGTATTTGTTCGTTGGTTCGAACAAGTACATGAAACCACAGAAAAATGAAAGATCTATGTTTATATTATTTCCAAAGGAAAGATTATTTTGTATACTCATATATAAGATTGCATGGATCTTATTATGGTATCTTTTCTTGTAGAAAATCGGATTCTATGGCTAAAAGGAAAGAGAGACATGCATGAGTAGGAGATCTAGGAGAGAGGATAAGAGATCCACACTTACTATATACTTCTACAAATATACATGGAAGGAAATCACATGAAAAGTCCTATTCTTGGAGAAGACTCCAACCTTAAGGAGCAATATTCGAGCTTTAGATAGATATTCTGTTCTGTTAGTTTTTGTTCTCAGTTCAGTTCGAGGGTTTTTACGTATCCAAGAACTGAAGTTGTTTAGTTTGTTTTTCTTAATTTCACTCAAACTATCTTTGTGTTTTACACTTAGGGTTTAAGTGTAGGTTAAAATGTCCACGGGACGTGGCTGGAGAAATAGTTGATAGGATCGTGAATAGTTGTGGCTAGACTAGAAGGGAGTTCGAGTCTTGTAAGTCCAAACTATGTCATTGTACGATTTATCAATGAAAGAGCTCTAACGGAAAGTGAGACGCTTCCCTGAAGAGGTTCTGAAATCTTCGGTTTATTGCTTCCGTATTTACAAAGCTGAAAAATTATGTGATCTTGACATGTAATTATTAAACATATTTTTGATGTGGTGTGTGTGAGTAGATTTGTATTTATCTCTAACCTAATTAAAAATGATGATAGAATTGATTTGTGTAAGCAAAAGTAGTGAGTGAGAATTAAATATACCAAGCAAAAAGCTCATAAATTTATTTAACTACTTCCAAAACAATAGCAATACACAAAAGAAAATACCAAATTATCCAAGTTATAAATATATAAGAAGTCAATACCCGAACCATACAGTAATTTTTCTTGGCTGTGCTCTCATCAAAAGCCTAAGCTTCCCCCCCACACACACTATATATATTATGTAAAAAAGCACACAACTT